CATCCGAATGGGTGACATCAAATGGGGTGACATCCATTGAGCCATGGGGTGACATCGAATGGGGTGACATCCAGTGAGGTGACACTCATTGGGGTGACATCCGAATGGGTGACATCCATTGGGGTGACACCCATTAGGGTGACATCCAACGGGGTGACATCTAATGGGGTGACATCCAATGGGGTGACATCCAATGGGGTGACACCCATTGAGCCATGGGGTGACGTCCAATGGGGTGACATCCGTGGCGTGACATCCAATGGGGTGACATCCATTGAGCCATGGGGTGACAACCAGTCGGGTGGCATCCAACAGGGTGACATCCAGTGAGCCATGGGGTGACATTCTCCTCCAGGTGACATCGAGCCAGCAACTGACATCCTCCATGGGGTGACATCCACCATGGGGTGACATCGTCCATGGGGTGACATCCATCGCAGGGTGACATCTGCCTCCAGGTGACATCGAGATGGTGACTGACATCCTCCATGGGGTGACATCTGCCACCAGGTGACATCCGCTTCCAGGTAACATCTCCATAGGGTGACATCCTCCTTAGGGTGACATCCACCTCCCTAGGGTGACATCAAGCTCCAGGTGACATCCTCCATAGGGTGACATCCTCCATGGGGTGACATCCACCACCAGGTGACATCCTCCATGGGGTGACATCTGCCACCAGGTGACATCCACTTCCAGGTAACATCTCCATAGGGTGACATCCACCTCCAGTTGACATCCTCCATAGGGTGACATTCTCCATGGGGTGACATCTGCCAACAGGTGACATCCTCCATAGGGTGACATCCACCTCCATACGGTGACATCAACTTCCAGGTGACATTCTCCATGAGGTGACATCCTCTTTAGGGTGACATCCACCTCCATAGGGTGACATCAACCTCCAGGTGACATCCTCCATAGGGTGACATCAACCTCCATAGGGTGACCTCCTCCATAGGGTGACATCCTCCATGTGGTGACATCCTCCATAGAGTGACATCTGCCACCAGGTGACATCTACCTCCAGGTGACATCCTCCATAGGATGACATCCTCCTTAGGGTGACATCCTCCACGGGGTGACATCCACCTCCAGGTGACATCCTCCATAGGGTGACATCCTCCATAGGGTGACATCCACCACGGGGTGACATCCTCCTCCAGGTGACATCCTCCATGAGGTGACATCTGCCACCAGATGACCTCCTCCATAGGGTGACATCCTCCTCCAGGTGACATCCTCCTTAGGGTGACATCCACCTCCATAGGGTGACCTCCTCCATGGGGTGACATCCTCCATAGGGTGACCTCCTCCATGGGGTGACATCCTCCTTAGGGTGACATCCTCCATAGGGTGACATCCTCCATAGGGTGACATCCACCTCCATAGGGTGACATCAACCTCCATGGGGTGACATCCTCCTTAGGGTGACATTCTCCATAGGGTGACATCCACCTCCATAGGGTGACATCCTCCATAGGGTGACATCCTCCTTAGGGTGACATCCTCCATAGGGTGACATCCACCTCCATAGGGTGACATCCTCCATAGGGTGGCATCCTCCTTAGGGTGACCTCCTCCTTAGGGTGACATCCACCTCCATAGGGTGACATCCTCCTTAGGGTGACATCCTCCTTAGGGTGACATTCTCCATAGGGTGACATCCTCCATAGGGTGACATCAACCTCCATAGGGTGGCATCCTCCTTAGAGTGAC